GTTCAATATGTTGAGGCTCCAGTCACTAAGCAAATTTGAAAACATACTTTTTGAGCTCAGCATTCTTGTCTAGTCTTGCTCTGTGACGTAAACCTTGAGTCCATGCAAAAATACTGGCAATGGGATTGGTACTTGTCTCATTTCCCTACCACATAAACATCAAAACAAACATCAAACACTACAACTTGTCAGGAGTTTATCAAGCACTTCATTCATGACCATTAGAATACAAAGAATCAACCTCCTTAAAATCCCTCAAGGTTCCCTGATGGGTAGATACCAAAAAAAGAGTAAAAGGAGATTAGAAACTACTTAGCAGAAAAGTCAATTTGGCAGCCCAACTACATCGAATCCCTGGCAAGATATCTGTTAAGGCATCACTGAGAAACCAAAGTGAGGGATGAACACTCACAAAGAAAGCACAGGAGGGTGGAAGGGTGAGGGACAGAGTGGATGGAGGGGAAGGTGGAGGGACAAGGAAAGGTTGCTATGGGAGCTGGGAGAGAAATATGGAGGGAGGGTGCAATGGAGGGAAGGAAAATAACATGTAGATGACTTCACCAGAATGATCAGCCTCATTGAGAAAACACCTTGATTGAGTAAAAATCCACGATTTCATAATAATCATGTCAGCTGTACCTTCTGGTACTCCCTGTAATGTCTTGTCACAGTACCATGGGCTGCCTCAGCCTCTATTGTTTTGCCATCACCGCATACTAATACACTTGTCATAAGACCAAGGGAACCAAAGCCTGCAAGAAATCAGAATCATTAACACCCCCTAGCTAATCAATGAGCTCACTGGCTAGAGTAACACAAGCTTCAACAGATCTCTCCTTATACCCTATCATGTATATGTGCATTTACATTGTACATTGTATATGGAGGTTTCATGTAAAAAATTAAGGAATAAGCCACAAGTGCTTCTTGTTATTTCTCTCCACCTTGTTCTTGTTCAGACTCTTTGGAGATTCATAGGCAAGGTTAAATTTTGGAATTATGGGGAAAAGTTTGCTGTGTAGTCATCACTATCCTGCAAAACAAGTTTGACTCACTTTTTTGAGCCTTAAATACCCAAAAATATGATATCCAGCAAGTTTTAGCCCTTGAGAACTTATTCAAAACAAATGGAACCCCAACTGATGGTCCTGTATGCCACACAAGTGGCACCTTGTTAATAAAGCTGTACTTTGTCTTTTCATAAGCTAAATTCTCAAGTATTTTGTAAAGTGACTGAGAGACTACCTTAGATTAGACCAGTAAGAGTCTGAAGTTCATCTCAGAAAAAGCATCTTAAAAATTTCAAAATTTGCTTTATGTTCACCTCTTTTTCACATGGATGACATTCAGTTAAAATTCAATCAGACAGCAATTTTCTTCAGAATTTAATTTGGAACTGACTCATTAGTGAAGCCAATTACTACACTATGTGTAAACACCACAAATGTGAATTATGGCACATACCTTGTGCCAGTGTATCAGATTGGACATCCCCAT